GCTTTTGTTCTGTTGTTGCAGCTTTCTGCATGGCCCTTTTGTGGTGCGAAAATTAGCATTTATTGTTGTTGTTGATGTGCGGACGAGAGGACGAGAGTGGTAGGCAAAAGCAGTACGTACCTGCAAATCTCCGGCAACTACCAGCAGGTCTGGGTAGCTGAGACGATTTCAAGACCTCTCACAGTCGTTTGAGCAGCTATCGCTCGCTGTGGGGCGATAACCAGTGATATTGTGATTTTCTTCCTTAGTCTATAGTGACCGTTGTGCACATGCGGTGGCTGCTGTTATGGTCGGAAGATGCTGCAAAGGTCATAAGGTTATCGTCTCTGTCGCTCGGGCTGCACGCCGTGCTCGCGTAGGAGATGCGCATTCCTCATTTTTTCTCTGTGCCGATATCCATGAAGAAAAGCAACGGCAGCACGGTTGAAGTTACAGACAACAGACGGTCCGCCATAGTTTTTTTTTTTCTTCCCTTACATGCATGGATGGGTGGTAAAGCATCGGAAGCGTGTTGCTGCCTTACCTTTAGTGTGCTGCGTAGTCGTAATTTGAGCGACAAGGGGTAGATGGCAGGACAATCTTATTTCCGTAGTGAGGTTTGACAACTGGTCGTTCGTGGAACGGTGCGCGTCTATCGCAACGGCAAGCGTATTGAGAAAATAGTTCGTCCGTGGTGCTTCTCGTCATCATTTTCTATTTCGTTGTCACTTCATACTTCATACCACAAGTGATGAAAGAGAGTCTCCACAGTTAGTTCGGAAACGGCGACTATATTTGGTTTGTTGCGTTTGTTGTTGCTGAGCGCACATCGGATGTCGCCGTTCGTTACAGCCTGCGGTGGGCCACAGGGACGAGAGTGAGTGTCTTCGGTTAGGGTTAGGGTTAGGGTTAGGGTCTCGAGAGTTAATTAATGCCTTCTCTACGCTTTCTTTCTTCTGTTGGTCTACGTAGTAGTAGTAGTAGCACCTGTCTCTCTCTCGCCTATTATCGCCGTTGGGGTCCCAACAACATCGAACGTCAACCGCAATCGTTTTGCTTCTTGCTGAGTAAGAGGCTATTTGTGTAGTACGTACCCGGCTGCTGTATGTGAGGCGATGGGCGCTGCCTCTTTACTTGAAGCAACGGGGGCATGGCCCCTATACTGTTTGCTGCATGCTGTGCTATGTGACAGGGTCCAGCGGTTCAGAGCGGCGTCGGTGGTTTTCGTATGCTCTCTTTTGCCACCTCCCTGAAGCCTGTCGCGTCTGGCTCACTTGTCTTTGTCGTCCCTTCTTTTTTTTCTTTTTTTTCTTAACATAGTCTATGTTTTATTTTTCAGCTTGCTTTTTGGGGTTCGCCGGTCATCCGCCCACCACCCATTAGTTCAGTTTTAAATGTTGTTGTTGTTGTTGTTGTTGTCTTCGCATTAAAAACCGTTCCGATCTCTTTCTACCCAGTACCTTCATATGTCCGTACTGATCCAACACTTGATGCGGTCGATTCCCGTGGTCACAGGCTAACTTACCCTAAAAAGGTACGCTAAAACAAACTGGCCCCGAGAGGTCCGCCAGTCAATAGAAATCTACGACAGATATTCTTTGGAAGGGGGTGTTTACTTGCCATGTCTATGACTGGGCCCTGCAAGTTTCACAATTCTGAATCTTTTCTGAACCTATTTGAAACGGTAGTGTCATCGTTCGATATCCGTTCCGTGGGGAATCAACCGCAAATCATGACCCGTCCCCGAGTTTGAGCAGCTTCCGCCTCCTGTGGCCGGGAAGAGTCGGCCTTCACTGCTGTACCTTGTCTGTTTCGCCATGGGAATGGCCGGTTGATGAACAGCGAAAGAGGGTCCTGCGTGCTGCGCGCCACCACCTTTTTTTTTTTGCGTTTGTTATTGTGATTTTCTTCCTGAGTGACTGTTGTACACAACGTGCGGCTGCTGCTGTACACATACTTACTTGCGGTTGCTGCAGTATATGCTCGGAATGTGCTGAAAAGAAAGGTCGTAAGGTTATCGTCTCTGTTGCTTTGGGCTGCACGCGTTGCTCGCGTAGGCGATGCGCGTCTCCTACTTTTTTTTAGTGTCGTTGTCGGCAGCACAGTTAGTTGAAGAGACAAACAACAACAGACGGTCCGCCTTAGTTTATTTTGTTTTGCTGCATGCATGGGTGGTATGCATCGGCACGCATGTTGCTTCCTTGCCTTGAGTCTGCGGCGTGGTCGTAATTTGAGTTAGTTGAAGAGACAAACAACAACAGACGGTCCGCCTTAGTTTATTTTGTTTTGCTGCATGCATGGGTGGTATGCATCGGCACGCATGTTGCTCCCTTGCCTTGAGTCTGCGGCGTGGTCGTAATTTGAGCGATAAGTAAGGTAGATGGCAGCACAATCTTAGATACTACGTAGTGAGGTATGATAACCAACAGCTCGTTCGTGCAGCGGTGCGCATCTATGGCGGACGGCAAGCGTATTGCGATAATAGTTCGTCGGTGGTGCTATGTAGTCGTCATGCTCTTTTTAGGTTTCACTTCCTACAACAAGATAGTCACAGCTCGCAAACGACGACTACATTTGTTCGTTGTTGTGCTTGTTTGCTGTTGCTGAGCCGACATCGGATATCGCCGTTCGATACACAGCGTGACATCATGTCTGACGGCCTGCGGTGGGCCAGAGGGACGAGAGTGAGTGTCTTCTCGAGAGAGTCAATGCCTTCTTTTCTCGAGACAGTCAATGCCTTGTCTTCTCTCCGCTCTCTTCTTTTTGTCTACCTCTCTTTCTCTCTCTCTCGCCTTTCGCCGGTAGGGTCCCAACAACATCGAACGTCAACCAACCGCAGTCGTTTCGCTTTTTGCTGAGTAAGAGGCTACCCGTGCATCCGGCTGCTGCATGTTAAGCGATGGGCGTTATGCCAAGCAATGGACTTGGGCCCTACCTAATATTTGCTCCATATGTAGTGCTATGTGAGAGTTTCCAGCGGTCCGGAGCGAGCGGCGACGGTGCTTTTCTTCTATGCGCTCTTTTGCCTCCTCCCTGAAGCCTGTCGCGTCTGGCTCGTTTGTTCTCGCTTCTTTCTTTCTTTTGTTTTTCATGCTTTGTTTTTTGGGGTCCCCCGGTTCCTGTGTGCTCATCGGGCGTCTTCTTGGTGTCTACCTTGATTGTTACCCGCTGCAAAAATCGAAAGCTTCAGACAGGCAACGCGACGATACTCGTCGAGATGCCATACACAATGAATTCATTGCTAATCTGTCTCAGACTCTTTTCTATGATGGAGATGGATTCGTTGTGTCATATTAAGAAGAATAAAAAAAAAAAAGCATCCTGTCGTTACTCTATCGATACCTCACACCCACCCCTACTCACTCACACCGACGCAGACACAGACAGGCAGACTCAGCTCCTTCGCCTGTGCTGTATCTGTTGTTCGTTCGTGCTGAAAAATGGTACATACAGCAGCAGTTCACAGCAGCAGGAGCTGCTTTTTGCTTGTTTGTACAGCTTTTCCTGCAGGGATGGCTCTTGGTGTGCGGCAAGTTGCGTTGTTTGTTGTTGATGCGGACGAGAGGACGAGAGTGGTAGGCAAAAGCAGTACGTACCGTGTTAAAGGGACAGACAGAGTGCCTACCGTGTGTACAAGGGACAGACAGAGTGGAACAGAGTATAGGGGTTGCGTAGTGTGTCGGCTAATTAAGGTCCTTCCCGTTCGTGGTGTCAGCACACGCGCAACACGCGACTAAAATAAAAAAAGCTTGGGACTAGCAACGCCGACGATATTCGTCGGCTTGCTTTCAACAATAATATAGATTACCGCCGAGTTCGTTTTTACAAGGGAATGGGGTCCCCTCCATATGTATATGTTGACCAGAAAATAGAGTTCCCTCGAATTTATTCGTTCTTCGTAAAACAAACGCGTTCAATCACGCGCACCCGACATGATCAAGGCCGGCACACGCCGTAAGTAATTTAGGCCCAGCACACGTCTGCTGTACTTCCAGACCTACCGCAAGCCAATAAGGGTCAGCGCAGCTTTGGTAGCACTGACGCATACCCACAGCATCAGCACGCTCGACAGCTGACAACAGTCCGCGACATTTTCGGTGTGGTCGCGACAATAACTCTCCGCATGATACAAGGCAAAGCACTTGATCTACTGCTAGTGTGTTGCTATCCATCACAACGAAATCAAGGCAGTTGATGCGGCCGTTGTGTTGCGCCCAGGACATCCATCTGCAAACCACACACACGCCTTGAAAATACAGTCTTCAATTTGACCACTTTAGATGCATGTTTTCCCACACCTACCTCACGAATGAACACAGAATGGAGGAGCTCTTAGGGCGCCGTTCGCTGAAACGACCCCACCCGTGCTCGAGTTCCGTTACGTCCATTTGTTCCCGTTTCCGCCCCCGCACATATACGTCCAGAGTGTTTGTCCAAAAGATTTATTTTTCGTGTGATTCGTTGTGTGAAGGTATTTGCAGACTTGTCCAGATTTCGCGCATCGTCAGACCATTGTTCATGCACATTTTAATGCTGGCTCTCTTCGGTTACTTCATCCCCATGGGAGCCACGTCATTCGAATGTCTGTCCTCCTTTTTTCGTGTTTTTGGGTCACATTTTGTTTCCTCTTTCTACAGCTTGTACATACATGCTACAATTGTTGCTGTATTAAGCAAATATTGACACGAAAAGGATTAATTAGTGTATAGATGGACTGCGCACCGAATGCAGAATATTTTGGTGACGCGTGGGTTGGAATGCTTTGGACACCAAGTTTGCTTTACCCACGAAATGAAATAGTTGACATATGTACATCTCGAACTTAATGACTGACAGCATGGACCGAGAGAGACGCGAAGTACTCGTCGGCCGTTCTCGCAGACCTACTCGACATCTCTCACCTCGTGACCTCCCCGCCCAATAAAGGCGGGGAGGCCGATGCATCACCCTATTATGCTGTATATGCCCAAAGTCTGTGCCTCGTTCCCGTCCATGCCCACCTGTGTTCTAATGGCAGCCTAATGGGTGGTGACGAAGAAACTGTGGGTGAAGAGAGGCTCTTCTTGGAGTACATGAGGGTGCTCTTTACCGACATCGCTGTGCTACAGTCCTTCCTGAGCGAGATTGGACCGGAGTTTATTGTGTGTCATGACTGGGACCGTTTGGGAGACAAGGAGCAGGCATCAACAATTGCTCACTTCATCGCTCCGAACGATGAAATTGCCGGCTTGGTGGAGTCATCGCTGGTTCAGACGGCCAGGAAAAAATCGTCAAACACCAACCCGCTGCCGTTTGAGGACGCCGACGCCGTAGTTTCGCGCCTTCAGCGCAAGCTGGATGCGTTTGAACCCCTCTACTGCGGCTGATCTCGCTATTTTATGTCGCTGTCCCGGCGGTCCATGGGGGTTTGTTGCAACAGTCGGCGCTAGGTTAGGTTTGTTTGCTCGACCTACTCACGAACGTGCTAGTAGTGGCTCCTAGCTTGTCCACGCATGTCCGACGGATTAATAAAGGGCTTGGAATGCCCACGGGAACGTTAGTGGTGAAACAGGGAGGCTTCAAACATGTGCAATGTAGCCAAGGGCCTTTCGAACACCTAGCACACTGGTGAACTTTATTACAACAATGCCACAACATTACAGAGCGAAGGTGACATTCGAACGCCAACACGCCGTCATCAGGTCAACCAACAACACAGCATTGAGCAACCATGCGAACATGAAGGAGCGATGGCCGATAACGTACAGGTCCAGTGACTCTTTGAAAGGAACAGCGACTTTGCCAGCTGGGCGTTGCAACGAACACCCAATTTGACTCGCAGACGGTTTCCGATTCAAAATTTCGAATTCCCGCAGTGGAGGCGACGATGGCAAGGACCGAACCATATAGAGCGAGCCGTCAATAGATGCTACGGCAGGTCCTTGGGTCTCTATCAACCAAAATTCACTTTATGTCCCTGTCGTTTTCATTCGCATAGCCCACTCCATGCCCGAACCTTGTCAAATGCTGATCCACAGTTCTGAAGCTTTAGCTTCAGTCTCATATTTTAATATCCGTCGGTGGAACTTTTATTCGCATGCCCCACCCCTTGCCCGACCCGGTCTCAAATGCTGATCTCGAGCTACAGTGCAAGTGTCGTGTCGTGGCGCCCCAAGTATGGGGTTAGGGCCCCCTTTTTGTCACGTGTCACAGAATACAGGGTTGGAGATTCGAAACAGGATCTCAGGATTAGGGTTCGGGTTGTATTGACAAATTTTCTCCACTATAAAGAATTTGCTTGTTGCGATTTTCCAAACACGCACCCAACCGTACCCTCCGAGCACGACGAAAAAGACGGAACCACTTTTCATGCAGAGGGGCTCGGGTTAGGGCCCCCTTTGTGTCACGTGTCACAGAAAACAGGGTTGAAGATCACAAACAGGATCTCAGATATACCCCCAGTTAGGGTTAGGGTTAGGGCCCCCTTTTTGTCACGTGTCACAGAAATCAGGGTTGGGGTTTCAAATCAGGATCTCAGATTGTCCGTCGAAAAAACGCGTTTTGGAACACCAAACGCCCGCCAGACGTCGGGAGAGCACCCAAAATCGCCAAGGCCTGCGCTGTCGATACCATCGTTCGTGGGTTAGGCATGGCTTACTTGTTCGGAGCCGAGAAGAACGAACGTTTGCGGGTCGCCTCGCTCTCTTTGTCGCGCGGAGAGAATTGTTGCCAAAAAAAAAAAACGACCGCGAGCCCTTGTTCACGTTTCACGTTGTCCATAGAACCTCACCCACTCATCCTTTCTGCTCGACGTCCAGTACCATCTAGACAAAAACGTACCATTGGCGGCGTCGACTACTCTGGTTGGATTGGGCTGGAGCGCTAAACAGGTACGGCAATGCCAACAAAGAGACTTCAAGAGATGCGTTCCTCGACTGCTGTGTTTCACGCACACAGCCCGCGTGCGCGGGTTGTTCGTTGATACGCCCTGTTCCCACCATCTCGCACAACATCATGTTACACAGCACCTGCCCCGCATGTCTACCCCCCACATGCATGATTAGCTGTGTCGGACATGCCACCCTCGCAGGTACACGGGCGCGGGTAGATGTGCCTTGCGCGGGGCCCATGAAGTTTCTTATTTGGCCTTGCGCGGGGCCCATGAAGTTTCTTATTTGGTGAACACACGACGAACGAACTACGCACGCGGGTGGTTCTTTTTTGGTCACACACACACACATCACGGACGGTTTGAAAGTCAGTGATGAACCAAACACGATGTACTGCGGTACTTCATGACCTTGTACTCGGGTAAGTAACTTTCGTGTGTTTCGTGTGTTGATGGGTCGTTAGTTAAGTTTCTTCCACCAGTCCATCGGTATGCAAGCGTGCAGTAGGTCAACACCGCAAATGTCCTATCGGAAGTGCAAAGCTGTGTCCAACGAACCCCAAAAGCTCAATCAACCCCAACAGCTCAACCCCTGTGAAGTAGAAGCTGTCACCTCCATTGCTTTGAAACTGTCCGCGCTTTGTCCGCGCTTTGGTCGCTCGCTCACGGTGGCGTGTGCTTCCGTTGCTGCTCAACTAGCTGGATGGGTCGTGGATGAGGTGGCTTGATCGTGATTTGGTTGTTGTTGTTGTTGTTGTTGTTGTTGTCTTCACATTAAAAACCGTTCCGATCTCTCTCTACCCAGTACCTTCGTATGTCCGTACTGATCTTTGTGCGCGGAGGCAGATGCCATCAGAAAGGTGGACGGGCACTATGTACACGGCCCTATGCTTGCTAGAGGGAGCTGTACTGTCTCAGTAACCTGGTTTTGCCATCAAATGAGGAGGGGACAGGTGGTGACGAGCTGACTGGGCTGGTTGACCCTTCGGCGCGAGAATTTTCAGACCAAGAACCCTAAGTGCAACGAGGGAGAAAGCGAGGAACCGACTGGGAAGGACAGCAACGAGAGCGTGTACGAAGCGGAGCGGGTCGAATTTGGTCGTGCTAGGACTGGCCACAGCGACACCGGAGAAGCGGCACCGGAGCAGCGGAACCGGAGCAGCAGCGGAACCGGAGCATGCGGACGGCATCGAACCGTGTCGCACGGACAAACATCTCTTGTGTTGTCAATTATTTTCCGTTTTTTTTCCTGAATATAGGTGTTAGGTGTGTGTAATGACGTCACTGGTTTTGTAGAGAGACGCGGCAGAGATGGCGCGGATAACCCGGGTGCCTTAATTGTGTACCTGCATCGTGGAAGACCCCTTCAATGTGGAACGATTCCTAGTCAGTGCCGATGTTTACGCTTCTGTGTCTAACACAGATGATCTGGATAGATTCGGGCAATTGTCGATTGCAATGATGGCTTTGGTTGGTTGCTCTTCTTCATTGTATGTCCACGGGACCATTCTGACAGCACTTCAGACAGCAGCTGCATGCCCCGAGCTTGTTGTGCACCATACACCATGGTGTTATTTTGTACAGACAGCACTTCAGACAGCAGTACGCTGTAGTCGACAAACATCCATTTTGGTGAAGTAAGTGCGGGACAAGGGGGGTGATGCCGCCTGCTGTAGTCGAATTGTAGTGTGTGGGCGTGTAGTTCAGTTGTGAGCACGCAAACGTGCTGCAGGGATTGTAGGTGTACCTCCTCGGGCTTGTGTACCCTTTTCTTGCTAATAGTGTGCGTGTTCTTTAGATCTTCTGATGGCTTTAGCATTTTTGTGACCACGGGCCGAGTCTTTGCTAGATTTTGGGATTAGCAACTGACACGAGTTTAATGTGAAGAAAAACAAACAAACAAACAAACTGATCCAACACTCGACGCGGTCGATTCCCGTGGTCACAGGTTAACTTACCCTAAAAAGGTACACTCAAATAAACTGGCCCCGAGGGGTCCGCAAGTCAATAGAAATCAACGACAGATATTCTGGGATCCTCCGCTCCCTCTTCACGCTATGCGGGGTATCAACTGAGATTATAGCAGTCACTATCTATCATGGGCCGGAGAGAAAGAGGCACACTCCCTTGGTTCAATCTTGGTACTTGACAACGCAAGCAGAGACAAGTCCATCTGGCACAGAAAAAGAGAGAAAAAAAGAGAGAAAAAAAAGGACAAAGAGAAAAAAAAGGGTTAGGGTTAGGGCCGCTTGAATTGGCGTGATATGTTCGTACATTTCCTTCGAGCCGTACCCAATGTACAGCAGTACAAGCAAGATTCGCCAACGTCGTTTTCTCATCCGTTGTTATCGGTGATGGTGTCGTTCTCTTCAAGGCCGAGAGCACTGCTGTTTCGCGGTTAGTCTTCGCAGTCACTGTTGCGTGTCTGGGCTGCTCGTATTGACGCACCACCGCAGCATGACACCATAACCGCAGCAAACATAATATGTGTCAGAATGAGAAGCCTGACGCTGTTTCAATACCGAGGCATATAGAGTAGCTTCGTGACCCGACTTCATCGATATTGCCTGGTAAAGTGGTTGTGTTCCCGTGTCATGCCTAGAAGTTGTGTCGTATATCTGGCTCCAGGGTTGCAGGTATTTTGTTTATTCGATTCTTAAAGTATCCGCATTTTTTTTTTTAACGTATGTATGCCCTGCTGGCGCTCGCCCCTATTTCTCTCGTCTTGCTTTCCGGTTTCACAGTAGCGTCTCTGCTGGGACGGAATTGTGCCTCTCTTCGATGCCAATGCTGCTGCTGCTTCTGCTGTGCATATCCCGCAGGGGATGTCAGGTGAGGTTCACGAAATTGCGCCTCTGACTTCCGCAACATACTTCGCGCCCCTTTTTTTCCGCTCCTCTTGTTCTGTGCGCATCTCACCGCCAGCCGCATCATGATACCATCACCGCAGCAAACATGTCTGGGAGTGAGAAGCCAAGAACATATGTTTCAAAAGCAAGGCTGGAAGAGTATAGACGTGGCCCAACTTCGTCGATATCGCTGATATGTAGTGTCGGAACGCAGGCAGTGTGTTCATGGTTGGTTGTATGCATCTCATGGTTCGAGTCATGTCTCATATACCTGGCTCAAGGTTGCGACCCTCTAGACTATGCGTAGACCTGTACATACATGTACACGCTTGCTCCAGGGCACCCCTCTCTCTCTCTCGCTCGATTTTGGATGTCACAGCAGTCCACTCGCTCGGCCGGACGTGTTCCCCTCTCGGGTGCCGGAAGAGTCCTTCTGCTGCGCCTGCGTCCAAGGGCAGCCCGTAGGGGGTGTCAGGTAAGGGTCACCAAAGAGCGCGACGACTTCCGAATTTTAATTTTCGTTTGTTTATTTTTCCGAAAATGGTTGCATGTCGGACATCTGCAACCAGGTCACCAGCACCGCAGCATGACAAAATCACCGCAGCAAACATATGGTCGGGCGCCGGAAGATTCCTTACTGCTCCGTCTGCGGGTAGGTGCTGGGTGCACTCCGTAGGAGATGTCAGGTAAGGGTTGCCAGAGAGCGTCACGGCTTGATCAATTTAGTTTGTTTTTTTTAGATCCTTAGCATGGGTGCATGTCGGGCATGTGCAATTTCACATCACCAGTGTAGAGGCGTGTCGGAGTGAGAAGGTTAAACCTGTTTTAACAGTAGAGGCGGACATGGAAC